CCCACGCCAGGAGGGGGGATCCCAGCCTCTCGCAGAGCCCGGCTTTGGCTGTGGTGGGCTGCTGCTCCGGGGAGAGCTAAGCTGAGCACATTCCCTGCAGGTAGTGAAGATGTCTGGCAGTGACCCTGAGCGCCCACAGTTCCTCTTCGTGAAGGTGCTGGCGAGCCGAGGGCGGCTGGAGGCGGTGACCCAGCAGATGGGCTACCACCCGCAGTACCTTGACAGCTTCCTCAAGACGCAGCACTACCTGATGCACATGGACGGCCCGCTGCCCTTCGACTGCCGGCACTACATCGCCATCATGGTGAGCCCCGCTGGGAGCTGCCAGGGGGGACGGGGGGCTCTGCTCAGCCCCGCGAGACTCCCTGCTCTCCCTCCACTGGACAGCCTGTGCTGCGGGCTTCTCTGCAGAGGCCAAAACCGTGATGCCTGGGAGGCTGGGTGAGAGGTGGATGTGGGGTCTCGGGACGCCTGTCCCTCTGGTGTGGTGCAGGGATGCCAGTGTGCTGTTCTTGCAGGCAGCTGCCCGGCACCAGTGCCGGTACCTGGTGAACCTGCACATGCTGCAGTTCCTGCGGGCAGGGGGTGATCCTCAGTGGCTGCGTGGCCTGGACTTCATCCCCCCCAAACTCCGTAACCTCAATGAGATCAACAAGATCCTGGCACACCGGCCGTGGCTCATCACCAAGGAGCACATTGAGGTATTGGGGGGGGGCCATCAGCCAGGGACCAGGGCGGTGGTGGGGACAGTAGCATCCCCAGAGGGTGCTGGCACCCTGCCTGCCCGCGTTACATTGCTGGTCTGTCCGTGTCCTGCAGAAGCTGCTGAAAATCAGCGAGTGGAGCTGGTCACTGGCAGAGCTGGTGCACGCCGTTGTCCTCCTGGCGCACTGCCACGCGCTCGCCAGCTTTGTCTTTGGCTGTGGCTGTGAGCAGGATGAGGGGCCAGGGGGCCGAGGCTCTCTGAAGCCCTTGTCGCCCGGGAACCAGTGCTTCTGCGAAGCCACCGCCAGCAACGGCTGCAGCCAGGAGCTGCTGCGCATCAACCGCAAGCGGGTGAGTCCCCGAGGGTGGGTCCGTGGGGGGACGGGGACTGTGGCCAGGATCGCTGCCCTCACCTCTACGCCTGTGTCTGTGCAGTCCCTGGACTCCTGCATGGAGCTGGATTCCCTCCGGGAACGTGTGCAGCGGATCCACGTGGAGACCGAGGACAGGGAGGAGACGAGGCTGCCGCAGCAGGACCGAGAGGAAGGTGAGGGGCAGGGAGGGGAGGGGACGGAGGTGTGCAGGGTGGCAGTTCGTATGGCACACCTGGGCGTTGCTCCCCCATGTCTATCCTTCTGTTTTCTGTGATGTGTGGTTTGGAGAGGGGCTCCTGGAATGCTGGTGCTGCTGAAGAAGACAATGGTGCTTCCCAAAGTGGTGCAGCAAGGCCCGGCTTTTGACGCCTGCTGCGGCTGGGAAGAGGGCAGCTAAGCATCGTTCTGACCCATCTGTGGGGCTCTCCCCTCTCGCAGATACTGACGGGGAAGTCACCGGTGCCACCAACCTTGCGTGCTACATGCAGGACCCTGACTTTGGATACCAGGACTTTGCCCGGCGTGATGAGGATCAGACGCAGGTATTCAACGTGTGCAGCGGACCCACGGGGAACCCGGGGAAGGGGAGGAGACGAGGCTGCCGCAGCAGGACCGAGAGGAAGGTGAGGGGCAGGGAGGGGAGGGGACGGAGGTGTGCAGGGTGGCAGTTCGTATGGCACACCTGGGCGTTGCTCCCCCATGTCTATCCTTCTGTTTTCTGTGATGTGTGGTTTGGAGAGGGGCTCCTGGAATGCTGGTGCTGCTGAAGAAGACAATGGTGCTTCCCAAAGTGGTGCAGCAAGGCCCGGCTTTTGACGCCTGCTGCGGCTGGGAAGAGGGCAGCTAAGCATCGTTCTGACCCATCTGTGGGGCTCTCCCCTCTCGCAGATACTGACGGGGAAGTCACCGGTGCCACCAACCTTGCGTGCTACATGCAGGACCCTGACTTTGGATACCAGGACTTTGCCCGGCGTGATGAGGATCAGACGCAGGTATTCAGAGTCCAGGTGAGGTTCCTGCTCTCTTGGCAGGCAGCAGCCCAGGCTGCCACCTCTCCTCTCCGCTCATCTTCTCTCTGCTCTGCTCCTGGTGGGGAGTGGACAGTTGCCGGAGTGCCCGTGCAGCCCCGATCCAGCACAGCCGCTTTTGCAAAGTGCCTGAGTGGGGAAGCTCAGCTCTGAGAGGGGACCTGCCCCACTAGCTTTGGGGAGGGGGAGGTGACTGGTGACCTTCTGTCCCCAAGGGCTACCGATTTCTTTGTGTTGCCTTCACGGAGGCAATGGTCAAAATCATCCAAAAGCTGCCTGATGAGGGATGTTGTGGTTTGTGGCAGTCGCCCCCAGAGCAAACCTACTGAATTCTGCTGCATCCTGAGGTCTCCAGCCCTTCTTCCTGGGAACATGTCCCAGTCTCCTTTTTGTGGTTGTGAGAGCCTCTTGCTGTGCTCAACAGGATTACTCCTGGGAAGACCATGGCTTCTCGCTGGTCAACCGGCTCTACTCTGACATTGGGCATCTCCTGGATGAGAAGTTTCGGATGGTGGATGGTCTGCAGAGCAGCGCTATGGCCAAGCGGCAGGGCTGTGAACCCTCTGTCTTCAAGCGGGGCATCTGGAACTACATCCACTGCATGTTTGGCATTAGGTAGGGAACCCAACCGCGTGGTCCAGGGGAGAAAACCGAGCTGACCCAGGCAGGAGTAGGGTAGGGCGCTCGGACTGTCTTGCAGATGGGCTTGGAAAAGAGATGGAGATAAATCGCCTGCTGGGATGTTGGGGCCAGGCAGAAAAGAGATGCTCAGCTTCTGTGGGCAGGGCAGGGTGCTTTGGGAGCAGGGCTTCAGTGCCTGGTGGCCGCTGCTGTGTGTCCCCCTGCCCCGCAGCTGGGCCTTGTCCCAGGCGGACCACGGGTGAGGTGCTCTGCAGGGACACGGTGCTGGCCGTGACCCACCCCTGTGCTCCCCCACAGGTACGATGACTACGACTACGCAGAAGTGAATCAGCTCCTGGAGCGAATGCTCAAAGTTTACATTAAAACTGTAACCTGCTACCCAGAGAAGACAAATTTAGAAATGTTTGACAGGTTCTGGAAGCAGTTCAAGCACAGTGAAAAGGTGGGACAGCCAGCCCCTGGCTCTGACCAGCTGCAGTGGGGCCAGGAGTGGGCAGGGGCTGCAGGCTGGGGGGCGTTGGGGAGCGTACAGGAAACCTTTGAGCCACCAAACCAGTCTGAGGCAGATGGAGGGGGGAAATGGAAACTGGCTGTTTGTAAGGAGATGGGCTTAGCGTGGTGTGGAACTGCCCGCAGTGTGATGAGCACAGCGGCCACTGGCAGCGTGGGGATCTCCCAAGGCCATTACCCTGGTGAGTGCCTCCAGGCGAGCCCTCGGTCCAGCTATAACTTGCTGGAGTGGCTGCTGTCGGCGGCAGGGACGGTGCTGGTGCCAGCCCGGCGTGCTGGTGCCAAGTGTGCCGGGGACTCCCCAGCTCACAGCTCTGTGAGGCAGCCACAACCTGCAGGACTGGGAGGGGAGGGGGAAAGGGCAGCTGTTTCTGCTGGAAAACTTGGTGGCATTTTGTCCCATGCCAAAAGACTTACTAGCCTTGGTGGGCGCTTGCTTGCACTGCTGCCCACGGCACACTGCAGCTGCCTGAAGCTCTCTTGCTTCTCCCTTAGGTCCACGTGAACCTGCTCATCCTGGAAGCCCGAATGCAGGCAGAGCTGCTGTACGCGTTGCAGGCCATCACCCAGTACATGATCTCCTAGATGGTGGGGAGCTGCGCTGCGGCAGGGCCGGCCAGCATCCTCTCTCCCTGGACTTGTGCGTGACCTGTCATGCTGGGATGGACAGCAAAGGATTACTCAATTTAGTTTACTTGACTGTCTTGTTCCTTTTTTTTTTTTTTTTTTTTTTTCCCCCCCC